AACAACAACAACTTTTGTCATAAGTGATGTCATACAATTTTTGTCCTATTGTGATTGACTTATTTCACTTGGCATAATGTCTTCAAGCTCTATCCATACTGTAGCAGGTATCAAGACTTCATTTCTCTTTCTATCTGAGTAGTATTCCAGTGCATGTATTTACCTCATTTTGTTTATCCATTCATCTGTTGATGAACATTTAGGTTTCCATTTTTGGGCTATTGTGAATAATGCTGGTCAATGTTCCTGTTGCTGCTTTCCAAGTCTCTAGGATATATTCCTAGCAGTAGAATTTCTGGGCCATGTGGTAGTTCTTAAGGAGCTCTAGTGTCTCAGTGTGTAAGGCATTTGGCTGCTAACCAGAAGACTGGCAATTTAAACCCACCAGCTGCTCCATGGAAGGGATATGAGGTAATGTACTCCATAAAGATTATGGCCTTGGAACCCTTATTGGGCATCTTATCTGTCCTGTAGGGTCACTGTTAGTTGGAATTGACTGGATGGCAACAAGTTTACAGTGGTCCTATTTTTAGTTTTTTGAGGAACCGCTACATTATTCTCCATAATAGCTGTACCATTTTATGTTCTTACCATCATCCTCACCAACATTTGTTATTTTCTGTTTTTCATTTTCATATTTTTAATCTTAGCCATCTTGTGACTGCTGTTTAACGAACTAAGAGAACAAAAGTACTAAACACAATATTAGGCCTCTTTACTTGGATGTTTCATGAAACCACAGCCTTAAACCTCCAAACCAAGAACCCAAATCCTATGATCCAATCTTTGGTTGTACATAAGCAGTCACAAAATAGCTAATACTGTATTTAGTACTTCTGTTCTCTTAGTTTATTTCATAGTATCTGAGGCCTTAAAAGCTTACAAGAGCCTATCCAATTTATTGCAGTTGGTCTCTATTGGCCTGGAGCAACAGAGGAAAGAGGATCAAGAATAGAGGGAAGAATTACAATATATGGCTAATTGCCTCTGGTGAACAACTGCCTCTGTTGCTGTGAGACCTAAAGAACTGGATGGTGACAAGCTACCATTTCTGAACGTTTTGATCAACAATTCTATACCAAAAAGCAAAAGGAGCTCTGGTGGCATAGTGTCTAAGGCATTAGATTGCTAACCAGAAGGCCAGTGGTTCAAACCTACTAGCCACTCCTCAGAAGGAAGATTGGGCAATCTGCTTCCATAGTGATATTGCCTCGGAAACCCAAGGAGGGGTCGCTATTAGTTGAACCATTTTTGAATGTTTTGATCAAAGATTCTATACCCACTGCCCTCAAGTCGGATCTGCCTCATAGCGACCCCACCTTGGGTTTCCGAGGCAGTATCACTGTGGAATTAGGTTGCCCAACCTTCCTTCTGAGGAGTGGCTGGTGGGTTTGAACTGCCAGCCTTCTGGTTATCAGTCTAATGCCTTAGACACTGTGCCATCAGAGAAAAATTTAATTAAAAGGAAGAAAATATAGAACAGAATTTTAAATTTTCACGGAATCTAGAATTTTTATAGCTATGGATTTATGCATGAACCCCAAAACCATTGCTCCGAGATAAACTTTAAACCTGAAACAAAATATCCCCTGAAGTTTCTTAAAACCAAATAGTTTAACTTAACAAGTGAAGTGTGTCTGCCTTGAGTATTGTGCTTTAAGAACTGTCTATCTGGGGTCCAATTGACAGCAGCAACTTGAAAGAAACCATGGGGCCCACTGTTCATATGGGCGAAACAGCTCAGAACAGGAGGGTGAGGATGGTCGCACAACTTGAAGACTGTGATCAGTGCCACTGAGTTGTGAATGTAGACACTGTTGGATTGGTATATATCCTGCTGTGTGTATTCTCAGCAACAAAAAATAAAATTACTATAAAGTAAATAACAAGATGTCTTTAATTTAAAAAAAGAACTTAAGCCAGATAAATTCACAGAGCTTAATATGGTCTTGGAAGGAGGGTGTAATATTAAATTATGCAGGATTTAAATTTTTCATTAATAGCTTCAGAAAAAGGAACAGCACAACTTTGAAGTAACTGTCTGGTCTCTTTTTAGACTTCTGCCTGGCTTTTCATATTATACTTACAGAATACACTGGAATGGGAGTCACAAAATGAGGATGCAGGACTGTTTGGTACTTGAATTCAGAGAGACTATAGTTTGTGATATGAATGGGGAGGGACTATAGTCCAATGCACAGACTACCCAGGTTTTGAACACTCACTCTGCTTACTGACTATATCACTTACTTTTAAAATAGTACAAGTTCCCTAGCCTCCCTCTGCCTTAGTTTCCCTGTCTATAAGAGAGATAATAATGGCCATCTCATTGTGAAGATCAAATGAGCAATGATGCATATAAAGCATGATATATAAGAAACAATAACTATTAGCTAATATTACTGGGATTGGCTGGCTGTGGACCTTAATTTGCTCATTGTTAAATTAAGAGAGTCACACTCTTCTGATTTAGTTTCCTATTTGTGTGCGTGTATTTAAATTTTCACAGCTTTTCATGGTGAAATTCAAAATGATAGTTGTGTACCTTAGAGATCATCTAGTCAGTTTTCCTAATTTTACAGACAAAGAATCTGAGGCCAGAGGCTTTGCTAGCTCAAAGTTACATACATGGCAGGGTGGTAGCAGAGTCACGTGAAAATGGAGCTCTCTTTGCTTATTTATTATTTGTATTTTAGATCTTTTAAAAATAGTCTTTTCCTTTTGTGGTAGATTCAGTTATCAACATGTTACTCATTAAGCCTTTACTGTATACATGAAGCTGTATTTGTGCATATTGTGAGCAAGCATTGTACAGATTTTTGTATAAACATGACTTCTGCCTTGCAGGGCCTCTTACAATCCCTTCTTGTCTTACTGAAGTTATCTTCCTAATATAATATTTTATTGAGGCTGCAAATGTGAACTCCAGACTTGATTATTTTAGGATGAATATATATTCTTTGTATTCTGCCTCAGCTGAAGAGGAGAAATTAAGGGAGAGATTTGGGTTTTAACTGAAAACAATTTCATGAGAGTATTATAGTGTTTGACTGTACTAGTTTTATATATAGTAAGTAGTCTGACATCAGAAGAAAGTTAGTAAAAGTAGCTAGAATACTTATTGAAAAGCTAAACTTTGAAGATTAAACATCATTTTCTTTTTTCATCTTAGGGCACAGTCAGTGGTGTGCTGCTAGTTACACCAAATAATATAATGTTCGATCCACATAAAACTGACCCCTTGGTTCAAGAGAATGGCTGTGAGGAATATGGCATCATGTGTCCAATGGAAGAGGTGATGTCAGCTGCAATGTACAGAGAAATTTTGGATAGCAAAATAAAGGAATCCTTACCCATGTAAGAGTGGTATTTATGTTCCTTTGCAGTTTTATTGCATCTGCATAACTGATTCTGGTCAATAGCTCCTAAATATTTTTATTAGTTTTACTATACCTGCTTTTCATTTTACCAGTTCTAGGGGAAAAAAAAAAAAAATGGAGTATTAAAAAGATTATTCTCAGTGTACCTAGAATAGTTAAGAATTATTTTAGATTTATGTTTGTATATTTGATTACCAAACCAGATACTTGAAAGGGAACCTGTAGAAATTTAATTCAGGGTTTGTTGGCCCTTTTATTCTGATACATGATCCATAATTCTAAATTACCTCTATGAGTAATCATTGTAAAAGGTAGTTTTCAAATTTTCCTTAGATGTGCCGGAAGACTTGAGTATGAGATTTGGGGAGGCCAGATGAGCAAAGACTTGATATTACTCTGTCCAGAGACACTTGTTTTTAATTAATGATTATATATTTCTCCTAGAAAAGTAAACGCCATAGTGGAAAATAACAACCGTTACATGAATGTAAGGAATCACTTTTGGAATACACTGATCAGGGAATTTGTGTAATGCTTATAGAAGAGGTGCAAGACTACATGCCAGACACAATCTTGAAAGTAGGATGATTGGCCCAAGTAATGGCTAGAGAGAAAAGGGAGGAATGAGAAATAAAAGGTGAAAAACATTAAAAGATAGGAATACAAAAGAAAGATAGGCCTTAGAAATAGAAAGGAAGAAAAATGATGTGTAATAGTAATGAATCCCCCCATACCTCCATATATGACTTTGTCAGCAGTTTAGAAACTGGTTTTACTTTAATTGATAATGGTATTTATGTTTCTGTATTAGCCCCCAGAAATTATGATAGCTGTTTGTTCTTAAACTTACTTATAGGTTAAAACTACTTACAAAGGAAAAGAGTAAATTATTTTTTGTTTCTGAGGCAGACTGCATGAATTGTTAGTATACTGTGGTAGACTAAAATCCCTTATTCAGAAAGTCTCCATTATACATTATACACCCAAAAGAAATTATTTGGGATTGGTAAATTGATCGTTGTTGTTGTTAGGCACCGTCAAGTAGTCTTCAGCTCACAGCGAGCCTGTGTACAGCAGAACGAAACACTGCCCAGTCCTGTGCCAGCCCCATGATCCTTGCTATACCTGAGCCCATTGTTGTAGCCACCGTGTCAGTCCATCTTGTTGAGGGCCTTCCCCTTTTTTGTTGACCCTCCACTTTACCAAGCATGATAGCCTCTCCAGGGAATGGTCCCTTCTTAAAACAAGTCTGACCATTCTCACTTCCAAGGAGCATTCTGGCTGTACTTCTTCCAGGATAGATTTGTTAGTTCTTTCAGAAGTCTAGTTAGAGGAACAAATATTTCCTGGGAAGCATCATTGATATCTACTGTTACCTATTTTTATACATCATCAGTAATCACCTTCAGCAAATTGCGATTATTAGTAGTAGATGGAGGAGTGAAGATTAGTTTAAAAGAGGAAGATCTATCTACCTATCTACCTATCTTATCTGTCTATCTATCTATCTATCTATCTGTCTGTCTATATATCTATTAGTGGTAAGATTTACTCTCTATTGTCCTATTTTTCCCATTTGTATTATGATGCTTTGAGCTTCTCTTATTTTGAGATAGCCGTAATTATTCTGAATGATACTGTAGAACTCTTGAAAGTCCTTGTTTTATCATTCAGGGTGTCACCTGGAAAGAGCCACCAAATAACTTTTTAAAAAATTCCTCAAAAAAGAAATATCTTTATTCCTGCCTTACGAATTGATAAAACCAAATACTTGACACTAAATCAGATAAATAAAGCTAATAATTTTGCAGGGTAATGTAATTTGTGGCAAAAATAAGTTATGAGATTTGACTGGTTTTCTTTCATTTCTGCTTGGGGAATTGATTTGAAAGGTATTGTTCCACTATACTGAGCAGTAGCAGCATCACTGGCATAAATTAGAGTTGAACCCTTCAGTATATTAACTCTGAAGGTCACAACAGTTATCTAAATAAGTATCTTATTTTTAGGTTTGTTAACTACAACTCTTACTTTAGATTCTTACAAAGAAAATCTGCTGGAAACAATTTCTCAAAACTTTTCCCATGTTCCAAGATCCTGTACATGCAGTTTGAGTGAATCACCAGTAGATGACAGTGTTGCATATGTAATAGCACAAATCAGATGGTTGTATTTTTCTGGGCTAATCAGTTTCAGAGGAGCCAGAGATAGGAATTAGACTTCAACTAATTAATTCCTTCTAAATAAAATAATTTTACTTGTCCTAGTTGTACAAATTATACATATTTGTATAGGAAATTTGAAAAATACCAAAAGTAGAAGAAGAAGAAAAGAGTTACCCAGTTTCACCATCCAGAGATAGCCAATTATTTTGGATCATCTTACTTTCCATTCTTTTTTTCTAAACATATTTTTACATGGTTCACATACTGCATAGACATAAATATTACTACTTTTTCCCACTGAGAACTCATAGAATTTCGATTTATCACAAACTGTAACTATCATTTTAAATTGTTGTCATATTTCACGTATGGATGTTTGCATACCTCCTTCTAGGAATTATATTATCTAACTTTTGACTATTAGTGCTTAAATGTAAAATGCTATTAAACATGGAAATCTAGGTCCAGTTGTGAACTATTCAACTTAAACTCTGTCTGAACAAGTTTTCTTGGGAAGAGTTGTTAGTACTCTGAAGATCCTCTAGTAACTACTTTGCATCAGTTCCATTCACTTTGGTTTTAAGCCTTGCATTTGAAGCATGTATTTTAGTTTAATTGCTCTTTGAATGAAAATAAGAACTGTGTGTGCATGCTTGTAAGTATACACATGTGCAGCAGCGTATTTTTTTAATAGAAATTTTAAAATTTAATCCAACTTTTACCTAAATTTATTTTTCATAACCCATTAATGAATAAATTTTAGTTAAATTATAGATTCATTCAGAACTTATTTCACCAAATTTTCTGCAGGTAAATTACTTACAAGGAAATTTTACGTGGATATTGCCCAGATATCATGCAATTGATGTAAACTGTTTGGTCAGATTTTTGCTGTATGTTAAGAAATATGTGCTACATCCTTTTAGAAGAACCTTTTTAGTGAAGTAAGTTTGTGAAAAATAAAATACTATTTTAAAAGTCTAATAAATTTTATTTTTGTTTACTGGCAGAGATATAGAACAGTTATCAGTAAGAGATTTCTGCCATGTAAAGAAAACAAGAGGTAATATTGATGAAATAGACCCAAGAGTCCGTGATGCAGGAAATGATAGTGCCAGCACTGCTCCCAGAAGCACTGAGGAGTCTTTTTCTGAAGATGTGTTTACAGAATCAGAACTCTCTCCTATTCGAGAGGAGCTTATCTCTTCAGATGAGCCACGGCAAGAGAAATCTTCTGGTGCATCATCAGAATCCATGCAAAATGTCAATCAGACTGCAACAGAATGTATGACAATCACATCAGAGTCTGCTAGTATTCCTGACCACTTAAAATCCAACGTTGGACGTTCTGCAAATGAAATTGAGACTCTGTCTCATAAAAAAGATTTAAATAATGTTGAAATGGCCATAAAGGAAGGAGCTCAGGTTACAAATGATTCTGAAGAAATAACAGATTCTAAAGAACAAAGCACAAGTATAAAAGGTAATGGGGAGCAGAATTTTCTTCTTACTGAGAATTCACTACACCAAGGAGAGAGTGAAAAAGAAAGTATGCCTTGTGGGGAAGTAAAAGAATTCAAACAAAAGCAAACTATCAACAAAGGAAAACTAGGAAAGGAGCAAAATCGGGACTCAGAGACAGAGGTAGAAGAGCTACGCAAACTCTGGAAAACTCATACTCTGCAACAAACTAAACAACAAAGGGACAATATTCACCAGGTGTCACAAAAAGAAACTAAGCATAAAATAACAACTGCTGATGGACATGTAGAAGGTAAGTGTTAAGAACTATATAAAGTTAGCTCATCTTATTATTACATATTATTTCACTTCTCACTGACTCAAAAGCTACTGTAGGTTAGTCCACTCTCTCACTGCTGTTGAGTTGGATCTGACTCATAGTGACCCCTCCTTGGGTTTCCGAGGCAGTATCACTATGGTAGTAGATTGCCCAGTCTTCCTTCTGTGGAATGGCTGGTGGGTTTGAACTGCCACCCTCCTGGTTAGCAGTCAGATGCCTTAGGCACTACGCCACCAGAGCTCTTGACTGGTGTTACCATTGTTGTTAGGTGCTGTTGAGTCAGTTCTGACTCTAGCGACACTACATACAACAAAATGAAACACTGCACAGTCCTATGCCATCTTAACAGTAATTGCTGTGTTTGAGCCCATCACTGCAGCCTCTGTGTCAGTCCGTCTCATTGAGTATCTTCCTCTTTTTCACTGACCCTCTATGCTGCCAAATTTGATGTCCTTCTCCAGGAACTGGTTCTACTGATAACGTGCCCAAAGTACATGAGATGAAGTCTCGCCATCCTCAATCTAAGGAACATTCTGGATGTGTTTCTTTACATGACAGATTTGTTTGTTCTTCTGGCAATCCATGGGATGTTCAGTATTCTTCACCAACACCACAGTTCAAAGACATCAATTCTTCTTCAGTCTTCCTTATTCATTATCCAGCATTTGTATACATATGAGAATACCATGGCTAAGGTCAGGTGCACCTTAGCCCTTAAAGTGACATCTTTGGTTATTAACATTTTAAAGGGGTCTTTCACAGCAAAAGGAGCTTTGGTGATGCTGTGGTTAAAGTACCAGGCTGCTAACTAAAAAGTTGGTGTTTCAAACCCACCAGCTTCTCCACAGGAAAAAGATGAGGCAGTAGGCTTCTCTAAAGATTTACAGCCTTGGAAACCCTATGGGGAAATTCTGTTCTGTTCCTGTAGGGTCATTATGAATCAGAATCAACTTTGAGGGCAATGGGTTTGGGTTTGGGTTGGTTTTTTTTTTTTTTTTTGCAGAAGATTTGCCCTATACAGTAAGTCATTTCATTTCTTGACTTTATTCATATAGTTCAACTTCTCAGATTATTTGCTCACTATACAGATTGAATAAGTACAGTGTAAGGGTAGAATCCTGACGTACACCTTTCCTGATTTTAACCCATGAAGTATCCCCTTATTCTGTTCAAACTACTGCCTCCTGGTCTATATATAGGTTGTGCATGAGCGCAATGAAGTGTTCTGGAATTCCCATTCTTCCCAAGGTTACCCATAATTTGTAATGTTTCACAGTTGACTGCCTTTGCAGAGTCAATAAATCACAGGTAAACACTTTCTTGTATTCTCTGCTTTCATCCAAGATCCATCTGATAGCAGCAGTGCTATTTTTTATTCCATGTCCTCTTCTGGATCTGTTTTGAATCTCTGGAAGTTCTTTGTTGATATACTGCTGAAATCATTTTTTAATTATCTTCCACAAAACTTAACTAGCGTGTGATATTGTTTGATAATTTCTACTGTCTGCTGGATTATTTTTGAAATGGGCACACATATGGGTCTCTTCAGTAGGTTGACCAGGCAGCTGTCTTCCAAACTTCTTGGCATAGACAAATGAGCACTTCTAGTGTTGCATCATTTGTCGAAGCATCTCATTTGTTATTCCTGGAACCTTGTTTTTCTCTGATGCCTTCAGTGCTGCTTGGACTTCTTCCTTCAGTGCTAAAGGTTCTTGATCATAACTCCTGAAAGGGTTGAGCATTGACTAATTCTTTTTGGTACAGTGACTCTGTGTATTCCTTCCATCTTCTTTTAATGCTTCTGGCATCATTCAGTATTTTGCCTGTAGATTCCCCTACTCCAGCTCTTGCCCATCTTTGCTTTTTCTTAAATATGCTAAGCATGCTCCTTCTCCATGAAATTTTTTTTTTCCTCAGACAAATAGTGGGCTAAGTACCGTACTGCTTTCATGTCTTGTCTTAAATAATCTTAACTTCTCTATGAGGCTTAGTCTGAAGCTCTTTCTGTAATGCAAGTTGTCCCCCTTTCCACGTGTGTAGATAGTTTTGTGTCTCTTACACTACTATTTTTTTATGGCACCAGCACTTTAGTATTTTGTATTACTTACATTTATCATGTTTGTAGTTTTCTTCATCTTCTCAGTTTATGAACTCCAAAGACAAGCATCCATAACTCTTTCATTTATTGGTATTTTGCTGGTGCCTAAAACAGAGCCTGGTTGATAGTAGATGCTCATTAGATACTTGCACTTAAAAGCAGTAGTTTTGTAGAATTCTACAATTCTACTTCAAAGTCAGAATTTTCTACAGTTTTTATATGAAATCACATGTCCAGAAATGATTCTTTCCACTCTGAGTATTGAAACGTGGGACAGTTTAGTCATAAATTTGAGCTAATTGCTACCACTGTGGTTTGATTGATCTATACCAAAACTAAACCTACTGCCATTGAGTTGATTCCAACTCATAGCAAGCCTATAGGACAGACTAGAACTGCCTCATAGGTTTCCAAGGCTATAAATCTTTATGGAAGCAGACTGCCTCATTTTTCTCCCATGAAGTGGCTGGTGGATTAGAATTGTCAACCTTTTGGTAAGTTGCCCAGTGCTTTAATAACCACAGTGCCACTAGAGCTCCCTGGTTGATCTATAGGGCCTTCTTAAATGATTATTTGAAATAAATTTTTTATCAACATATATATAGAAAGATAAGTTATTATGTCTTTGAATCATAATGCTCATCATACTGAAAGTTACATGTTTTAAGTTCTAAAATAATGTGATACTTTATGCAAGGGGATTATAATTTTATATTAAAGGCAAATTTAAAATTATGCAAAAGAACAGTTTCATGACTTATGAAAGTATGGGATTCTTGCAAAGAGCTGGTGTAGAACTAAGGGTCAGTGTTCTTACATCACCTCTTTTAAAAAACAAATATTGTAAAGCGAATAAGAGACATGGTAACCACAATGCCACAAAATGAATATTTTTCCATATAGACTTTTTCCATTATTAGTATTCTTCAAGAGTTTTGCTTGAAATTTTTTTCCCCTTATTCACAGAAGCTAAAGAAGTGAATAAAAGGCATTATGTAGTATATCAGGGCAATTTGGAGCAGAGACCTATTAAAATTGACTTGGCTTTGCTGCTTTTCATAACTATGAATCATCAGCAGTTTAGCTTCTCAGAGCCTCAGTTTCTTCATTCTTCCTCTGTGAATGAAATTACACCTTTATTAATCATATTACAGAATTGTAAGCACAATTTTTAAAGTGAAATAAATTATTAATAAACTAAAACCAAACCAAACTCGCTGCCATTGAATCGGATCCTACTCATAGTGACCCCTCCCTGGGTTTCCGAGATGGTATCACTGTGGAAGTAGATCACCCAATCTTCCTACTGCAGAGTGGCTGGTGGGTTTGAACTGCCAGCCCTCTGGTTAGCAGTCAAATGCCTTAGGCACTACTACACCATCAGAGCACCTAATTTATTAATATGTATTAAAATTTATTAAAGTAGGTCAATAATTATCACATATTAAGTAAGTAGATTAAGAGTAATATCAAACATGAAGAAACTTTCTGATTTATACTTAATTACATTCTATATCTTCAGAGGTATATTAGGGATAGAGTTGTCCTAGTAGTAAAATTATTTTTAGCTGCCAATTTTCCTTCAGAGGAGGGTGTATTTGGTTTTCTTATAGGTTGTGTATGTGTAATTGTGATACTATTTGTATAGTATAGATCTGTGCATATATATATTTTTTACATGAAGTCAGGATCATACTGTATACAACATGTATATGTTGTATACTGCTTTTTTGACTAAACATTCTGTCATAAATATTTTCCCATGTCATTATACTTCTTTGAAAACATGGTGTTTTAAATCATTTTTTGTTGTTGTTGTGAAAGTTTACAGAGCAAATTCACTTTCCATACAACAGTTCACATACAATTTGTCTCATGACATTGACTCTAATTTCCCACAATGCAACAGCTCCCCTCCCACTTCCTCCCCATGGTTACCTCGTCCCTGTGTCCTTCCCTCCCATACACTCCTACCCCCTGAGCTGTCTCCCTGTGTATACACAGCCCTTCTATTCTCCCATGATTGATCTCTCCAAGGAGTGTATCTGGCTAATACATATGTTTCAGCTTATATGCCTGTCTTCAAAAATATGTTTTTCAATGACCCTATACTTCATTTAAGGAGCCCTGGTAGCATACTCGTTAAAGCATTTGACTGCTAACCAGAAGGTCAGAGGTTCAAACCCACCAGCTGCTCTGTGGGAGAAATATGAGGCAGTGTTCTTCCATAAAGATTTAAAATCTTGGAAACCCTGTGGAGCAGTTCTCCTCTGTTTCAAAGGGTCATTATGGTCGGAATCAACTTGATGACAGTAGGTTTGGTATAGTTTATTTAACCACTCAAAATATTTCCCATCTTTGACATTGTAAAGAATTCCAAGTGTTCATTTATCTTTACTCAGATATATTTGACTGATCTTATGGTTGCCTTAAACTTTGAAACCTTTGATATAGATAAAATAAGGGATTGTGTTTAATAGTAGGTTTTATTGGGGAGGAAAGAGATCCTATTTTGACCAAATACTAAAAGAGCAAAAATGGTTGACATGTTCAAATAGGTATCTCTGCACTGTTACAGTTTGATTTCTTTATCTTCTTGTTTTAAATTAAAATTAGTTTCATGTAACTGATTAATTTTAAGTGACTTGAGATTCTATAACAGAAATAGTCAAAGATTCCTGGTCACTGTTGTTAGGTGCAGTCGAGTCAGCTCCAACTCATACCATCCCTGTGGACAACAGAATGAAACACTGCTCGGTCCTTCACCAGCCTCACAATCCTTGCCATACCTGAGCCCATTGCTGTAGCCACTGTGTCAATCCATCTCATTGAGGGCCTTCCCCTGTTTCATTGACCTTCCACTTAACCAATCATG